TAAATTTTAATTTTTATAAAATTCTTGCCAAAATTTCAATTATTTTCAAAAACTTTTCTCAATTCAATCAAATTTTTTTTACAGAGATTCAATTATTTTTAATACAATTTTAATATAATTTCTCGAAAATTAAAATTATTGGCCAAAAGAATTTTAATTAACTATTTAAAAATTTGTTGATAAAATACTTTATGAGAGTTCAATTTTAAAAAAAACATTCAATTCTTCAATAAATTATATATTTTTGTATTTAAATAACTAAATTTCTCGTAGAATTTTCAAATAATAATTGATTTAAATATGAATTTCAGTTAAAATTTGAGATAATTGAATATTAAACTCTCCAAATTTGAATTAGTGAAAATGTTTTCTAATTTGAATTAGTGACTGACTATTTGCTTTTGAATTAGCAGATTTTACTAATAAATAGTCGTTTCTACTAATTTAATAGTAAAATTTACTAATTCAAAAGCATAAAGTCAGTGACTAATTCCAATTAGTAAACATTTTTACTAATTTAAATTTAGAAAGAAAGTATTATAGTTGAATTTTTAGAGATAATTGAATTTTGAAAAGATTTCAATTTATAATCTTTGAACGTTTGAATTTTTCATACTTTTAACTAAAAATTGTGATGATTTAATTTTTTAGAAAAGTTTAATTCAATTTTTTTGAAGTTATTTGATACTTTTATTGTCTAATATATATTTGATTGAAGAATTTCCGAATAATCGATGAAATTTCGTAAAATTGAATTGTAAACAAAAGAATTTGAAACTTTTCAAAGAAATTTTTCAGAAATTATTAAAAATGAATGAATAATAATTAATTTAAAGAAGAATTTTAGTTAAAAATTCGGGAAAACAATATTTTTTTTATTTTATTTTAATTTTGAATTATTTTTTTATTTAATTTATTTAATTTAATTAATAAATTTATTTTATTTATAACATGAAGATATCGATTGTTCCGAGTCGAAGACTCGGAGTGATCGATTTCTTCATGTTTTCTAATAATTAAAGATAACCGAGAGATAAAATCATTATTTTATATTATAAGAATATTGTTACTGTAACTTCTTTAAAATTATTTTCATTATTTCAATTCAATTATTATTTTCTAGAATTTTAAATTATTTTTTATGAAAATAATTGAATTCCTTAAAAAAAATTTATTATTTATAAAAATAATTGAATTTCTGTGAAATTTTTATTATTTATGGAAATAATTAAATGTTTGCAAAATAATTGAACTTTGGAGAAGAATTTTGTTATTTTTAAAGATAATTGGGATTTTTACGAGAATTTTTTTCAAATTTTTGACTTAGTTGAATTTTATAAGAATTTTATTTTTTATTTTCAAAATAATTGAATTTCTGCAATTATTTGTAATTTTTCCAAAATTGAATTTTTTTAGTGTTTTCAACAAAAATTTAAATTAGAAAATTTTTAAATTCTATTATTTTTTAAAATATTTCTAATTTTATTTAAAAAAGGTAGTAAGAAGTTAGCTTGTTGCTAGTAATAAAATAATAAAAAAGGCAAATTACTTTAGTTACAATAATTAAAGAGATGATAATAATAAGATAATAATAAATTTGCCTTGATAATAAAGAAAAATTTCGAAATTGAAGAATATTCAAAGACAAGTATTTGTACATATGTAATAGTTTTATCACAATTTGAATTAGTAATTAATTGATGATATAATGAACCGCGTGAATTTATCTGATTGCTGTCACATTGAGCTTATACTCTAAAAGCTAAAAATCTTACTATTTAATTAATTTATACGCTAAATATGCAATAAGGTACAGACTAATTTACTATTCGCTATTTTTTTTCTGCAACTACTTTTCAAATTTAAATCAAATAGACTTTTTCATTAACATTTTTTTCTTTATTTTCAAATGGAAAAAAGCATTTTCTTTCACTAGAAAAAACATCAATAGAGGAAAAAAGAACTATTTAATTTAAATTTAAATCAATTTTATATATTCGAAAAATAATTTACAAAAACTACTTATTTTTTTGCTAATAGTCGAAAATTATAATTATACTTTAAATTAAAAAATTAATTATATAATTAAATTATATAATCAAATATAATTAAACTAATAGCGATTTTATGTCTTAGCCGAGTTAATTTTTCATTGAAATTATATGCACGAATTTTTTATGTGCATTTGATAAAAGAATTTTAAAAAAAGTAAGTTCTTTGGTAAATTAACTGAATTACTGTATATAATTGTCGGATTGACTAATTATTCTTGATATTAATCTACTATAGAATTTGAAATTATTGGAGAAAATTCTTTCAAATTTTTTTTTTTCGCGAAGAATATGCAAAAGAAGGGAAGAAAATTGACAGTTTTCTTTTTTATCTGTTCGCTCTGACCAGCACTCGTGATATTTAATACCCGATTTGAATATTCGTTAATAGAAAGGATGGTTGTACAATAATATTAATATAAACTCTGTATAAGATACACAATAATGTCGTCGTCGTCGTTTCATCATTTCTTTTTTGCTAATTAATTCATATCTCACGATAATTCAATCAAATATTGATAATTAATAATAGATTATCTCTGTGTCTTAATATTTTTTTTTTCTTGATTTCTCGTTTCATTCAAACACAACATTTTTCTTTTAAAATGTATATATGTCATCGTTATTGCTTATTTAGTTCGGAGTTGATTTCGAAAAATTATAGGAGAACTTGTTAATTATTAACTTGTTAATTATTAATTAACAATTAATTAACAATTAATGAATTATTATTTAATTATTAATTGACAATCAATGTTAATTATTGAAAGGAATGCAAATGGTTGAGAGGAGAAAAAAAATTGACGTTCCTTCACCGGCGACAAATTAATCACAGTTGCAGCAATTTACATTTTACATCTTTGTCGACGGGTGGAAATCGTCATTTTTTTTGTTATTTTGATACATTGGAGAATTGTTTCGATTATTGTTGTATTTTTGTATTCCTGGGTAAAATTTTGCGGAAAAATATTTTTTTTCTAAATTTGCCAAAGGGAATAAGTTTTGGAATTTTTTTTTTTGTTTTGTTTTTATCAGGGAATGTGAAAATTTCTTTGGAGAATTAATTTTGTGATTTCATTTGGCCAGAGAAATTGTAAATTTCAATATGTAAACAATCGACCCAGTTTCCAACTCACGCTGGCTTTTAAAATAATTAAGTTTACGAGTTGTGAACTTTTTACTGTACTAAATCAATAAGAAATTCTAATTAGAGAATTAAAATCGTTTACTCAATTAGCAATAATTATTGGGTATTAATTGTAGAAAAGGGAATTTTTTTTTTAAAATAGAATTTTTTCGATTTTTTTAATGTTTAGTAAATTTATTATTAATTTACCAAAAATTATATTTTGTTTTGTATAGGAATAGTTTCGTGAGAAAAATTTAGAAATTATTTTTTTTTATAATTTTGTGTTATTAAGTAGATTTTTAAAAAAATTTAAAAGATGGAATTTTTTTTACATGGAATTTTTTGAACTTTTAAAAATTTGAATTTGAAATAATTTAATTCTAGCGTAAAATAGTATAAAATTTTTTTTAAATAATTGAATTTTATCAACAAATTTTATGGAAAATAATAGAATTCCTCGGAAGTTTAATAAAAATTTGGAAAATAATTAAATTCTTAAATTAAAAATATATTGAAAATAATTAAATCTTTTCGATAAATTTTATTAAAACTGTATTGACAATAATTGAATTTTTGCAAACCAATTTATTATTTATGAAAATAATAAAAAGAATTGTAAAATTTGCAAAAAAAAACAAACAAATGAAATTATTTCAAAGAAAATTTAAATTCTTCCAAAGAATTTATTTAAAATTGGGTTTAAAATAATTGAATTTTTCTAAAGAGTTTTATCAACATTTTTGAAAATAATTGAATTTTTTCAAGGAATTCTATTAAAATTGTTAAAAATAATTGAATTTCTCTGAAGAATTTTATTATTAATGCAAATATTTGAATTCTTGAGAAGAATTTTAATATTTATGAAAATAATTAAATTCTTGCGAAGAATTCATGGAAATTTTTGAAAATAATTGAATTTTTTCAAGAAATTCCATTAAAATTTTTAAAAATAATCCAATTCTATCAACAAATGTTGTTGAAATTGTATTAAAAATAGATAAATTCCTTTAAAGAATTTTATTATTTATGAAAATAATGAAATTGAAAAATAAGATAAATTGTATTGAAAATAATTTGAATTTTTCTGAAGAAATTATCAAAATTTTAGGAAATAATTGAATTTTTTCAAGGAATTCCAATACAGTTTTCAAAAGTAATTGAATTCCATCAATTAAAATTCTTGAGAAGAATTTTAATTCTATTTATGAAAATATTTAAATTTTTGTAAAGAATTTATAGGAATTTTTGAAAATAATTGAATTCCATCAAGGAATGACATTAAAATTTTTAAAAATAATTGAATTCTTGCGAAAAAATACATTAAAATTTCTGAAAATAATTTTATTGTTTCGAAGAAAATTAAAATTCTTAGAAAAATTTAGTTAAAATTATTTGAAAATTAATTGAATTTAAATAAATAATTTTATCAACATTTTTGAAAATAATTGAATTCTTGACAAAAATTATTTTATTTATTAATGAAAATAATTGAAATCTTGTGAAGAATTTTATTAAAATTTTTGAAATTAAATTGTTTTGTTTTCCAAAATTTTGAATAAAAAATCATTCAAAAGATGTAATAAAAATAATACAATCATTATTATAAATTATTATTTAATATTACAATAAATTACAAGAAATGTAATAAAAAGAATTACATTTTTAGTAAAATTTATTATAATTATTATTATTTATTATATTGTTAATTATGTTTATAATTATAAACATAATTCACAATATTTTTAATTACGTTTACAATTATTTCTAAAATTATCATTAAATTTTTGTGAAGTTCCTTCGAAAATATTTTTCTGCAAATTTTTCTCTCCATTAATTTTAAAAAAAAGCAAATTTAAAAATTAATTTTTATAGAATTTTTCACATATTCGCTTCTATAAAAAAAAGAAAACAAGATTCTCCTTTAATTTCTTGATTTCAACTGCGATTTCGTACCATGATATGGTTCTAGCCCAGAGTTTACAAATGTAACTAACTAAATTAGTTACATGCCTACAAGCTAATTTTTCTTTTTTTCTTTTTTTTCAAAAAAAAAGCAAAAGAAACTCCGCAATTTTTTTTTTCTTTTGCGTTACAAAAATTGATGATCTTTTTGAGCATCTTCTTCGAATTAAAATTTCTTTTTACGTCTGATAGAATCATTTTGAGTCTTAGATATGAGAAAAAAATCTAAAACTCACCGCAGATCTATCGGGAAATTGAATTTTTTTTATGGTATTTCTCATTCTCTTTATTTTATATACAAAATAAATACCATATTTTTTTTGTCCTGAAATTTTTACAGGAACAAAAAAGTTGAATTCAATTTTTGTTTTTTTTTCCTCCTTTTGTTTAGAATCACCTAAACACCGCAAGAATTATCACGATTAGACTTATAGTCAGGTACGATGCTCGGTGACCCATACTGCCATTGTCCTCGAGACATTGACCTGAAAATTGAGAAAAAGAGTTAATTGGTAATGATAATGTTTTATAGAATATATTTTTTTTTTATTTATATTTATTTACTTTATTCTTTCTCTTATTTCATTAAATATTATTATGGTTATAAAATATTTTTTTATCTATTAAAATAATTTATTACAATAATTTATTACAAATTAAAACAAGAATTATTTTCACTTACAGTGAAACCTGTTGGAATGCAAATCGATTTTTGAAATTTTATTATACAGTAAATAATACTTACAAATTTTTTTTATAATTAAATTTTGTAATATTTTTACAATATAATTCGGGAACTAAGTGAAAATAATTCTTGTTGGATATTTTTGAATACAAACAAAATTTTTAAATAGAGTTGCACTCCGACAGGTTCGACTGTAGTTCCAGAATATTGTAAAAAATAAAAATATTAAAAATCAAATTATAAATTGTTGAAGGATTGTTTACTGTAATAAAATTTCAAAAATTGATTTGCATTCCGACAGGAATTTTTTTCTCAGTGTCTAAATTTTTTTTTTGTTTTTAAATTTTTGTCACGTGTCATGGGGGAGATTTTTTTTTTGGTTTTTGTATGTGCATATAATTGTAAAGTTTGGATTCTAATTAAGTGGGTGTGTTTCACAATAGAGAAAATCGGACGGTGTACATAAGGCTTGATTATGCGGTTCGAAAGTCTAGTCCTTCAATTTTAATAAAACTCTTCCGGTCTAGAAGGATTCAAAGACGATGAATATTCATCATGAGTCATTAATTTTGCAGCTACTCGGTAAGACGCTGTATAAATTTCCTGCCTTGTGCCCTCCTTGCAGCTTCTCAATTGCACTTCTCGGGTCATTTCGAATTCTGACAATAGAAAATTTAGGATAGTGTATATGAAGCCGAATCCTCTTACAGTGATGTTACAATTTCAGTTTTCCTCGTATGTAGAATTTAAACTCGACGAGTCAGCGCATTTTCTTCGCGCGCGCCAGTCTGATTAAAATTATTATTATGCAATAATAATAATAATTATAAAAGTAATAATATTATTGTTAGGAATTATATTTATTATTTTTGTATCATTATTATTATCATTATTGTTATTAATTTTATTATTAATATTTTATTACTGTACTAGACTGCATTGAAGTAAATAATAGGTGATAGCCGTAGTCGTTAAGGCACCTGTATTTGTGAGTGGAACTTAGGGTCAGTGGTTCGATCCCAGACGCCCAGAAGTAAAAAAAATATTTAAATAAATAAATAATAAATAACGAATATTAATATATTATTCTATATTTTATATTTTATTATTAAAGAAAAAATATATCTTTTATAAAATATGTTACTATATTTATTCAAATATTTATTTATATTTATTGAAAATTTGAAATTAATCTATATTTTTGAGAAAAATTTAATTTCGATCAAAATATTTATTTTCAATTTTAATTGATACTAAATTTAATTGGATGGATTCTATTATTTATTTATATTTTAATAATTATATATTATATCTTACAATCAAATACGAACGTCGTTAAACTATTATTTTATTTATCCAAATTTTTAATTGTTTCTACTTTGCTCTGAATTTTCTATTCATAGGAATAAATAAACAAAAAAATCTCTGAAATTTTCTACCTGAATAAATAAATAAAAATAAAATTTGTAGTGAGGAGAAGGATTCAAATTTTGAAAAATTAAAATTTATGGAATTTTAGTGAAAAGACGTGGACTAAATTAAATTATTATTATTTGTGAAAAGTTCTGATATAATTTTCATATTTATAAATAAACAAATTATAATTTAAATTTTATAATTTGACACTAAAAAAAACTTGAGGGAAGAAAAAAATGATTTAGAAACACTAAACGAAATAATTAAATTTTACTTGAGAATATGTATGGAATATAATTACTAATTTAAATTAGTGGAGTTTTCACTAATTTGGATTTAGCGAGGTACATTTAATTCTCATGAAAATTTTAAGCAGTATAAATATCCAATTATTCTCATCTTAATTCACTACAAATTCAATTGTTTCACACTTTGAAATTCATTGAATATTCAATCGATTTTCATTCACGGGAAATTGTTATTTAATAAATTATAATATTGATTTTTTGTTGAGATAAAATATGTTTAATATTTAAGTTAAGTATTTTTAACGAAATTTCCAATTGACTTTCAATTTGGACAAATTTAATAAAATATTCTTTTTGTTTATTTACATAAATGTTTATTCAAGGAATTTATATTTAACTAAATTAAAATTGTATTGAAAACATAATTGAATTTCTGCGAAGAATCTTATTATTTACGAAAATAATTTATTACTTACGAAGAATTTTATTAAAAGAATTTTTTCGAAGAATATAAAAACTTAAATTTTTTTTATTTACGACAATGATAATTAAGCTTTATAGACTATGAAATTAAATTTATTTTCAATAATTTAATTCTTGAAGAACTTTTATAAAATTATTACTCAAAAATTATTTAGCAAATAATTTTACTTAAAAATCTTCAAAAATAATTGAATTTTTGCGTTTATAAATATTATAAATAATTGAATTTCAAAACGTTGGTGAAGTTAACAACGTTTGTAATCAACGATTTAGATGAAAAAATATTTTTCTATTAATATCTTTATATATTTTTAAATAAAAAATGTTTTGCATAATTTTTTGATTATTAATTTGTAAATGAAAAATTTGTAAACAAAATATTTTGTTGTTTTTGTCAAGAAATTTTTTTTTCCATTCAATCCTTGATCATAAATGTTGTGAACATCCACGAAGTATTTAAAAAAGGGTTTCAAATTGAAATTTTAGAAAATTTGTGCTTTAAATAATTTTAATCTTTTGTGAGAAAACTACCCTTATCACCTACTAAAAAAAAGGAATTTTAAAAATTCAACATTTCTTGTTCTTTTTAATGTCATTTAACTTAATTGTTTTTGCGCTTTTCAAAAACACTTTACCCATTTTTTGTCTCAACACTTTGGTAAAAGAAAAGATTTTAAAAAATTTATGAAAAATCGAAATTTTGAAAATTCATCATTTTTTTTTCTTTTTTATGGCATTTATCTTAATTATTTTTGGGTTCTTCAAAAACAAACTTTACCTATTTTTTTGTCTCAACCATTTAGTTAAGAAAAAATAGATTTGTAAAATTTACCAAAAATCGAAATTTTTAAAATTCAACATTTTTTCTTCTTTTTTATGGCACTTAGTTTCCTTATTTTTGGGCTCTTCAAAAACACTTTTCCCATTTTATTATCTCAACACTTTGATTAAAAAAAACAATTATAAAATTTACGAAAAATCCAAATTTTTAAAATTCAATATTTTTTCATTAATTTTATGGCATTTAGCTTTATTATTTTTGGGATCTTCAAAAACACTTTACCCATTTTATTGTCTCAACCATTTAATTAAAAAAAAGATTTACAAAATTTACGAAAAAACGAAATTTTGAAAATTGATAATTTTTTTTTCTTTTTTATGGCACTTTGCTTCATTATTTTTGTGCTCTTCAAAAACACTTTACATATTTTATTGTCTCAACCCTTTGGGGAAAAAAACTACCCCTACAAAATTTACGAAAAAACGAAAATTCTGAAAATTTAACTTTTTTATCTTTCTCCATATAATTGAGATTTCAATTAAAGAAAGAAATCCTCTATCATTTCAGCGAAAGATTTAAGAAGAAAGAAAATAAATTTCTCCCTAAAAGTTACATGTTGTTTGAAAACAAAGGCTTTAAAATTTAGAATTCCATTTAGGATTTTGATCCCCGATTCTCTCGTAGAGAAAAGTTTACTTTAAGGTACTTTGAAAGCACTGCTTTTGTTGATAAAAGATCAGCGTATATGGAGAGAGATTGGGAGAGTGGGGGTGGGGGGGGGGTGATTCATCTTTTAGTTTAGAATTGAAAGTTTTAATCTCTTACCGATGCTGGTCGCATTGAAGGCCAACATTGGAGGTGATGCCTGAACTTCCCTGTGACATGCGTCTGTACTTGCAGTTAAACTCACGACACCTCCACTCTCTCTATACATGAAACATAATCTTCTACTGTTTCTATAGGGTTGTGGCCTGTTGTTATCATTTGACCAAGCCGTTCTACGAGCAAGTGGCGTTGCAATCACAAATTGAGTGCCCTCACCATCGAACCACCTTCCATGACAAGAATAAGCTGAAAAGTAAAGAGTCAAAGTTGAAAATAAGATTATTCAAATTAGTGAAAAAGCGAATTTAGAGAGAATGTTTTTCCTTCTTCTTTTATACAATCAAAAACCATTACTATATTTTAATGATATATAATGGGAATTGATTTAGGGAGACAAACTGGACTCATTTCCCTTTCCCCTCATTCACGAAAAAAATATAAAGAAATGATGGAAGACTCTTGATAAAATAAAATACTACCAGGAAAATCCATTTCTACTTTTAATGTACGAAAATATTTCTTTGTAAGAAACTATTGATTCTTTTTCCAATATCTGACAACGAAGTCCATTTAAAGCCTCTTTTCGTTCCCTCTTTTTTTTCCAAGGAAAATTTTCTTTTATCTTGAGAATATATTTATTATTCATTCTCGATATTTTACTTTCTCTTTTCAACTGTGATTTGATTTTATTTAATTTTTATGTGAGGTAAATGTTTCAATTTGTGGATTTTTACTTGTATACGCAGTTGCGGATTCGTAAATTGCAAAGTAAGAGGAAAATTAATTGGAAATATGTAAAAAATATTCACATAAATAAATAGTAGTAAATAAATATTTATTTTATACAAGTAATTATTTGTTTGTATTATGTAAATATTTATCTGCTTCAAATAAATATTTATTTGTATCAAGTAAGTGTTTACTTATATCAAGTTAATATTTAAGTGTAATAAGTAAATATTTATCTGCATCAAGTAAATATTTATTTTTAGCAAATAAATTTTTATCTTTATCAAGAAAATATTTATTTGTATCAAGTAAATATTTATTTGTACCAAGTAAATATTTATCTCTATCAAATAAATATTTATTTGTATCAGGTAAATATTTATGTGTAATAAATAAATACGTATCTCTATCAAGTAAATATTTATTTGATTCAAGTCAATTTCCAATAAAAAATTATTTGCTCCAAGTAAATATTTATTTGATTCAAGTCAATTTCCATTAAAAAATTATTTGCTCCAAGTAAATATTTGTTTGTCAACCATAGAGAAGCAGAACAATTTATTCAAACAAATATTTTTTGAATAATAATTTTCTTTCATTTAAATCACAAAATTTGTTTTATTAAAATTTACTTTATTCAATGAGGATTTCTTTGAATCAAAACAATAATTTTCTTTAATATTGTTGATACAGGTAAAATTAAGAAAGGTCTTCGTTCTCAGATTTTATACGAATCTTTGTATTTTTTTTTGTTTCCTTTTATTATATTCAAACAAAAATATTAGTAAGAATTTCTACTAATTTACAGTAAAATTTTACTATTTCATTAGGTAATTTTCCATCTTTTTTTTGCAGTTTTAGTGAAAAATTATAAAGAATTAGTAGAAAGTTTTAATAATTTAAACTTTTACAAACTAAAATTTTTACGAATTGAAAATTTTATTAATTGAAATTTTTAATCAATTCAAATTTTTTTTAATTAAAAGTTTTCCCGTGCGAAATTTTACTACTTGAAGATTTTATTAAATCAAATCTTTATTAATAATCAAAATTTCCATTATAATTAAAATTCTAACTGACTGAATTTTTTTACTAATGTAAATTTATATTATATTATGCAAAAATTTTTACTAATTCTTATGTTTACTAATTGAAATTTTTATTAATTAACATTTTTACTAATTTAAATTTTGTTAAATAAAAATAATAATTGAAACTTTTATTAATTAGAACTTTTACTAATTGAAATTATCGCTAATTGCTTTCTTTTTTTAATTGAAATTTTTACTTATTAGAATTTTTATTAATTTTTTATAGATATTATTAAAAATTTCCATTAATTTCGATGTTTACTAATTGTAATTTTTACTATTACTTTTACTTTTTACTAATTGAAATTTGCATTGATTAAAATTTTGAATACCTCAAAATCAGTCGCTCAATTTTTCCAAATTAAAATTGAGAAAGATTAGCGAAATTAAATTTTTACTAACTACAATTAGTGGACAAAACGTCCACTAATTTTAATTAGTAAAAATTTAAATGGGTAAATATTTAAATTTGTAAGATTTATAATTAATAAACGTTTCAATTAGTAAACATTGGAATTAGTAAAAATTTTAATAAATAAAGTTTTAGATTAGTAAAAATTTCAAACAGTGGAAATTTCAATTAAAGAAAATTTCAATTAGTCAAAATTTTAATTAACACAATTATCAATTAGTGAAAATTTCAATAAGTAAAAATTTCAATTAATCAAAATTTTAATTAATACAAATTTTAATTAGTAAAAATTGCAATTAGTAAAAATTTTAATTAATAAAATCTTCAATTAGTGAAAATTTCAATTAGTGAAAATTTGAGTTAATAAAAAAATTTAATTAGTGGAAATTTCAATTAGTAAAAATTTCAATTAGTCAAAATTTTAATCAATACAAATTTTAATTAGTGAAAATTGTAATTATTAGTCAAAATTTTAATTAATTAAATTTTCAATTAGTGAAAATTTCAATTAGTGACAATTTGAGTTAATAACAAATTAAATTAGTGGGAATTTTAATTAGTAAAAATTTCAATTAGTCAAAATTTTAATTAATAAAAATGTCAATTAATGAAAATTGCAATTAGTAAAACTTTCGATTAGTAAAAATTGTAATGAACAAAATTTTCTATGAATGAAAACTTCAATTGTAGTCAAAATTTTAATTAATACATTTTCAATTAGTAAAAATTTCAATTAGTCAACATTATAATTAATAAAAATTTCAATTAGTAAAAATTTGAATTAGTCAACATTATAATTAATAAAAATTTCAATTAGTGAAAATTGCAATTAGTAAAACTTTTAATTAATAAAAGTTGTAATTAAAAAAATTTTCAATGAGTGAAAATTTCAATTGGTAAAAATTTTAAGTAATAAAACTTTCAATTAGTGAAAATTTCAATAAATAAAAATTTTAATTAATACAATTTGTAATTAGTGAAATTTTTTATTAATAAAACTTTCAATTAGTAAAAATTAGAATTAAAAAAATTTTCAATGAGTAATTATTTCAATTAGTACCTAAAAAATGTAATTAATAAAATTTTCAATCAGTGAAAATTTCAATTGGTGAAAATTGCAGTTAATAAATAATTCAATTAGTAGAAATTTCTATTAGTAAACATTTGAATTAGTAGAAATTTTAGTTAATAAAATTTTCAATTAGTGAAAATTTTAATTAGTCAAAATTTTAATTAATAAAAATTTTAATTAGTGAAAATTTTAATTAATACAATTTTCAATTAGTGAAATTTGCAATTAGTAAAAAATTTTATTTTTATAAATTTAAATTAGTAAAAATTTCAGCTAGTAAGAATTTTAATTAATGAAAATTCTAATTAGTTGTAGTAGTAAAAATTCCAATTATTAAAAATTTAAATTAGTAACACTTAACACGGAAAAAATTGTAATTAATAATAATTTAAATTTAAATCTTGATTTTTTTTCTTAATTAGTTATTTTCTACTCGTAATTAGTATTTCTTTACTAATTTCTGAAGCAAAAAAAGAAAACAAAATTTTACTAATAATTAGTTAGTTTCGGATGTAACATAAAGTAAAGTAACACTGAAAGTGGAAATGAAAGTCTGTCTTTATTTTCATTTAAATAATTTTTCCTTTTGATGATTTTCTATTTAATTTCATTACCATAGTTGGGAACTATAAAATTTTATTCTATTGAAAAATTCGAAAGAGTCACAAGTTTGAGAAAAAAAAGAATATAGAACTTTAGTAAACTTGACTTGAGTAAAATAATAAAATCCATAAAATTGATGGGGAGAAAATTGACAAAAGAATTTTTGATTTTTGATAAAAATTACCTGTGACGACGTCATCGTCGACGCAATCGCTTTGAAACTCCATTCTGTCTGCAGTCGAGCATCCAACGGTCAAAGTCGTCACGTCTGAATTGCAACGGGGATTTTCTCCATCTCTCTTCTCTCGTCTCTCACTTGTCTCCTCATATTCTTCATCATCATCTAAATCTCTCTTCATTCGCAAGAGGTCAGCGTAGTTAAAGAACCTGTCATTTCGCAACGTCGAACTACCACCACTATCACCACCACTGCTACTCCTCTTGGGAATAATATCCACCTCGTCTGGATAGTCCCCAAAGTAGTCATCCTGATCCTGCAGGATACTCGGTATTCCCACCTCGTCAAATTCAGGCGCCCAAAAATGTCTAGCTTGCGTAAAATCATTTCTATCAATATCAAAATTTTCATTCTTTTTCCTATGCTGATAATTTCTCTCAATTTCCTCATTAATTTTCACTGCTGTTACTTTTTTCATACTCATTTCGTTTCTATTTTCAATTTTATTTCCCTCTTTCAATGAATTTTTTTTTGCAGTTTCAAATTTCGCTCGGCGTATTTCTCTTGTTTTGAAATTTGATTTTTTGGGATATTTTTTATTGGTATTTTTCAAAGGTGTGTTTATGAATGTCGAGTGAATTTGTAAATCATCTTGATTATTTGATTCTTGATGATGATGATGATGATGATTGTTATTTGATCGTGAACTTGATCTCACTCTTCGTCCAATACGCTCACGGGAAAAATATTCATTATTTATGCGTTTCTTTTGTTGTTCAAAGTCCAATTTACGTGAACGACGATCTTCGGTTCTTTCTTGAGCGTGTCTGACCTTATCTTGTGATAATGTGACGCCAAGAATCTCGTGACTCCTTCGACCGTCCCTCGTGTTTCTTTGATTGCGATTCAAACCGGTTACCGTGAATTTTCCCAAATAAGGACATTGTCGAGGTTCTGGCGAACTCGCTGAAACAAGAAGAGAGATAACGATTGTTAGAGCTTGTTACAGAATTGTATCAATGAGAGAGGTTCATCTATATATATATCTCTCTCTCACTCACTCTCTCTCTGTGTCTTAGTAAAGCCGCTTTTGTCGACTAAACTATGTTAGACTAACTAAGGAATTCAGAATACACATTGTACTGATTGGATTTACTCTGACGACATATATATAATATGTATTTCTCTCAAAATTCTTGGGGCTTTGTTTTCCAGTTGGAAAAAATAATTGATAACGTTATAATTATGAATTTATGTAAAAAAAATTTGTAATTCAATCACCAAAATTTTAATTAATTAGGACTATTTTGTGAGGGACTAAAAAAAGTCAGGGAAATTAGGAAAAAGTCAGGAATTTTTAATAAAATCAGGGTGTCTACTGGTCCTTGAAGTCCTGGAATTCCTGGAAATGTCCTAAAATTTGAAAAAATGTCCTTAAATGTCCTGGATTTTGAACTTTTGTCCTTGAATTTTTCACATTTTGCTTTTCAATATTCAATAATTTAAAAATTTTACTCAAATTCAAAAAAATAATTTTTTTATCCATCAAAAAATAATTTTAATTTGTCATTTGATTGAAGAAACTGGTATCTACAATATTGATTTTTAACTCTTTTTATAATAAAATAAATATTTTTGTTCAAGTAGGTTAATTTAAATTATGTTAATAGTAATATGAAATAATATTACACAGGGTTGCCATAAAATTTAATTTTTGTTTTTCCCTGACTTTTCCCTGATTTCCAGACAAAATTTTCACTTTTTCCCTGACCCTGATGAATATTAATAACGTCTTTTTTTAAATAAATATTTAATTATTATTATTATTATTTTTCTATAAGAAATTTTATTTCATAAGAATATTGTTACTAAAAATTCAAATTTTCAAAGATTTTAATTTTAACCCTTTTCAAAATTCAATTATTTCTAAAAATTCACGCTATTACCGTAAGTGAGGCTAAATTCGCTCAATTTTTCAATTCTTTTTTAAATAACTTCGGGAAACGATGAAAATAAACATTGGCACTGAAAATATATAATCTTTAACCCTTTATCTTTCCTATTACTGCATAAAGAAATTGAAATATGTTGCAGAAAATTATTTATAAGCCGTTTTTTTGTGAGCGAATTTACCTTTAAATGATGGGTAAATTCGCTCACCATTATTATTCTGGCAAAATATATTATAATCTGCAAAAATGAAACTAAATATTCTTTAGAATCAATAAAGAAAAAAATTAAGAACAATATTCAAAGTTATTGGAATAAATATTTAATATTGTTTTATCAATAAGTAATTAGATTCAATCATTCAATCAAACGTACTCATAACCATAAAAAAACAAGGTTAAGTTTGACAGTTTAGTGCTTAAACCGTTTTAAATCGTTTAATTTTCAGTTATAAGAGTACTATTATTTCAAAAAATCGAATTATAAATTAAAGTAATTAACATACTTAAAATATCCAGGCCCAAACATCTTTTTTGTAGACTTATTTCCTGAGCGAATTTACACAACAAATTTGAATTTTTTTTTTTTAAATGATTTTTTGCAGAATCTGTTTATTGCTTTAATTTTTGTGCTTTATGAATATCATGTTGGAGATACAGGAAATGTAATGTTCAGAAGTATTCAACTTAAAAATTTTGAAGTAAAGCTTTATTTCCTACTTTTTCATACTACTTGTTCAATATGAAAATTATTCACTTGTGTTTTAAATATAATTTCTACTGAAAGTTACCAATGAATTTGCTGCAAATAAATTTTAAATTAAAGTTTACCATTTATATTAACCAAAACAATTGTAAATCTTAAATATTTCTGTCTAAAAAGTATGTTAATCGAATTTTAAAAAATAGACATCGGTTGAGCGAATTTACCCTACATGAGCGAATTTAGCCTCACTTACGGTATGTTTTTAATATTCAATTATAATTTAAAATTTTTAAGTGAAATTCATTTTTTAATAAATTTTTATTAGAAAATTTCCCGAGAATTCAATTATTTAAATACAAAAATAAATAATTTATTCAGTAATTTCATTTTTTTTTTTAAATTGAATTTTTATGAAGAATTTTATCAAAATTTTTAATAATAATTGAATTCTTTTGGCGAATTTAAAAAAAAAATTGTAAGAATAAATGCAATTTTCTATCATTTTATTTAAAATTTTATAAAAATAATTTAAATTCTACGATAGGTTTTGTTATTTATGAAAATAATTAATTTCTTATGAAGAATTTTATTTAAATTTTTTTAAATAATTAAATTTTTCAGAATTTTTAAAAACTTGTTAAAAATAATTAAATTCCATCTAGAAATTTCAATAAAAAATTGAAAATAAAAGAATTAAAAAAAAATTCTTTTTAAATAATTGAATTCCTGTAAAAATGTTTATTTTTGAAAAAAATTGAATTCTTGGGAAGAATTTTATTCAAATTCCTTTAAATAATTGAATTCCCATAAAAAATGTATTATTTGTGAAAATAATTGAATTCTTAAGAAGAAATGTATTGAAAACAATTGAATTGTATAGGAGAATTTTATTAAAACTGCAATTTAATGAACTAAATCTTGCAAAGAACTTTGTCAACATTTTTTTAAATAATAGAATTATTAAAAGAATTTTATTTAAATTTTTCAAAATAATTGAATTTCTCAGACTATTTTTTCAATTTTCTTTAAATATTTGAATTCTTTCGAGAAACTTGATTAAAAAATTTTAAATAATTGAATTGATGTGAAGAAATTTATAAAAGAAATTGGTAAGTAATTGAATTCTTGTTAAATTTTTATTAAAATTTTGTTTAAATAATATAATTCTTTCGGAAAATTTTATTAAAATAGTACAGATATTGAAAATCATTGAATTGAGGAAAATTTTTCTAAAATAATTGAATTTTGGAGAAGAAATTTATTATTTATAAGGGTATAATAATATATTATTAAAACTAAAAAAAAAAATTTTTTTGACCATTTTCAAAATTTTATTTTTTGAAAAAATTAAAATTTTTCGTGATTGCCACAGGTCAGGAAAATCAGGGAAAAGTCAGGGATTTTTAGTAAAAGTACTAGAAAAAATTGAATTTTTGAGAAGTTACAAATGATTGCAGAAATTAAATTATATTTTCAAAAATAATAAAATTCTTCGCGGAAATTCAATTATGTTCGAAAATTAAAAAAAAATTCTCATCAAAATTCAATTATCTTTAAAATAATAAAATTCTTTGGAAAATTTCAATTATTTTCAAAAAAAAATCCTCAATTCAATGATTTTCAATATCTACAGTTTTAATAAAATTTTTTAAAAGAATTGAATTATTTAAAAAAAATTTTTTGATAAAATTCTAAGCAAAATTTAGCAATAATTCAATTACTTTCATAAATAATAAAATTTTTTTTTTACAAAAATTCATTTATTTTCATAAATAATAAAATTCATCATAGAATTTAAATTATTTTTAATACAATTTCAATTGAATTTCTCGAAAAATTTTATTATTCTTGAAAATTTTATTAAAATTTCTCGACAAAAATTAAATTTTCTAATTTTTCTAGGAATTTACTTTAAATTGTATTATAAATAATTGAAATCCTCAGAAAAATTTTATAATTTATGAAAATAATGATATTCTTACAACGAATTTTATCAATTTTTTTTTAAACAATTGAATTCATGTGGAAAATTTTATTACTTGTAAAAATAATTGAATTTATGCAAGGAATTTTATTACATTTTATTTAAAAAATTATATTCTTTTGAAAACTTGTATTAAAAATGTAAATTTTGAAAATTTTTGAATTTTAGCGAAGAATTTCATTATTTGTAAAATGTACCTAATTTAATTCTTGCAAAAAAATTTTAAAGATAATTTTATTTTTCGAGAAATTTATTTAAAATTATTGTATTAAAAATAATTGAAACCATGTGAAGAAATTTTATTATTTATGAAAATAATTGAATTTCTTACAATGAATTTTATTATTTTTTTTGTAAATAATTTAATTTTTTTTTTTGACAAATTTTATGGAAATTAAAATTTTTTTAAAATCGTGAAGATATCAATCACTCCGAATCGAAGACTCGGAGTGATTGAATGAAATTTATTTATTTATTTATTGAATGAAATTTATTTTGAAACAAATAAAAAGTCTTGTTGGATGTGTCAAATTTTTTTTTCTAGATGTATTTTATTTTTATAATAATTCTGTTTTTTTTTTTGTTTCAGGTGAGTCAAACAGAACATAATTATGTTTCTTGGCGAGTTAATTTCGTAAGTAAATATCGAGTATAATATAATTATCAAAGGATTAATTTCGCAGTGTGTAGTATAATACCCTTTTCATTTTTCGAAATTCCATACACGCGGGAATTTTTTTTTTTTATTGTTAAAAACAAAGCCCAAAATGATTTATTAAAAGTGGAGACAGTCACTGTCAAGATTCGGGGGGGGGGGGGAACAAAAAACGTGGAGTAGTCAATAGAGCGAAAATCGGCCCTAAGGACACAATGCAAACTCTAACGAGACAAGCGCCCTGAGGCCGAGCTTTCTCTCCTCTTTTCTTACTTCCCCTTGTTCCCAGGATACGAGCTTTCAGCTTTCAAAGTTCCGAACGAACCTTGAGCTGCTTTTATCCCCCTCTTTCCTTTTTTCGATCTTATTGATGCCGTCGCGTCGCGTCTCAGTTGAGACCGCAAAAATCTCGTTATTTTTATGGTTAATTAGGTGTCCATTGCGGGACCGTCAAAGGCACCCCATCATGACAAGGGAGACTTGATTTTTCCAACTCATTAACTAAAGGTCCAACTTTCACGAAAGCGAGTCTGACCCTTTATATATATTGGAAGTAGGAGCGCGCAATCGTTAATCACCAATGAAACAAGACACGCCACGTGCCTTGCGATTCAAAGAAACGATTAAGAAAATATAGGGTACGACTGTTACACATTTTTTTTTTTTTTTTTT